TATCTCTCTCATCTCCCCCTCCTCTTCCTCTTCCTCTCCCTCTGAGATGCGGGGCATGCGCAAGGCGATTGCGAAGGCGATGTGCCGTCCGAGCTATGGATGTTGAAGTTCCTCGGAAGAGGTGGTGGCCAAACCTTCTTGGGCGGGATATCTGGGTGAGGGAATATCGGATCCCGCATGCCAGAAAATCCCCCATGATGGGGTGTGTTATCCAGATGGATGCATGTGTCATGTGGAAGCATGGCGCATGAGGGTAAAATGATTGTTGTTGTTGTTGTTGTTGTTGTTGTTGTTGTTGTTGTTCTTGCTGTTGTTGTTGCTGCTGTCGTTGTTGTTGCTGTTGTTGTCAGTCGCGAGCATGTCTGGGCCCCAGGCCCCAAGCCGCCGGGCCTGAGCTCTGCCTGGCAGGCTGGGGGGCGTGTGCTTGCGACCGCCCCCCGTGCTGCGGAGGAGGGCGAGCATGTGGAACAGCAGCGCCCCCCTCCTTCTTGTGTTCGCCCTCTCCTCCTCCTCCTCCTCCTCCTCCTCTTTCTCCTCCTCCTCCTCCTCCTCCTCCGCCTCCTCCTCCTCCCCCTCCTCCTCCTCCTCCTCCTCCTTCTCCTCCCTCCTCCCGAAGAAAAACAAACCACATAAACACAAACTCTTGGCGCTCCGCGCGGGTTTCTTGGATCCGCGCCTGGTCCTCCCGGCGGCGTCTCTGGCGCTGCCCCTGGCGCGCTCCGCGCGCCAGGTAGGGGGGGTCCGGCGCTTCGCAGAAACGATGCGCGACCAGGTGGGCAGGACCAGCGCGGTGCTGCAGGGGCAGAACCTCAAAGTCGCCGCGTGCGCGCTCAGCGAAACGATGGCGCAGAAACAGGACAGCCAGCACGCTAGCGAAGAACCGAAGGCAGCGAACATCGGCACGCTCTAGTACTGCAGCGCGAGGCTCGACGCGATCGTCGAGGACGTGCCCAAATATGGGGCCCCATGCGGGGGAAGCGCTACTTCACGCAGGGAAAGGTGCAGACAACATCGAGAACATAATGAAGCAGTTCGACGCCCCCTGGGGCCCTGAGGACGAGGAGAGCTGGTTGGCGCATGGATGGCAGAAGAGGGGCGAGAGCAAATGGGTATCGCCAGAGATATGGGCGGCGTTTGACCCGAACAACGAAGAGACGTGGATACCATCTGGCTGGTAGAGTCGCAAGGACGCGGAAGATAATGAACGACGACGAAGAGAAGAGTTTCGAGATCGCCGATATGAAGGGAACGCCGACCGATTGCCACATGAAAAAAAATTCGAAGAGCGGTGCGAACGAGAAGCTGCTCCATGCCAAGATGGACTGACTACCAGGACATGGGAGACAGCGACTGCGCGAAGGGCACGTCAGCACCAAGCGTGCACATCGCGAAACGCATCATCGAACATGTCGAGAAGCAGGGCAAGATGGAGTGGGAGGCTGGCGACGAAGGTGGCGAGCCGCGCGGGGGCAGGGGCAAGCAGTGGGAACAGCGCCTGCCCCTTGTGCAGGGCTGCAGCGTAGGAGCCTCCAAGGGTCACGCGGAGCTCTTCTCCCACTGCTGAGGAAAGCCGCTCCGGAGGTCCTCAGACAGGGCTCGGGGACGGGTGGGTCGCCGGTGGGCCCCGTCCTTCCAAAACTTTCACCACCGACGCGAAGACATCGTCATCGTTATCGGCGGGCGTGGTCTGCATCGGCGACATCATTGGCCATGTCGTCGTCATCGCCGCCATTGTCACCATCATCTCCCCCTCCTGAAGAAAGTCCCTCCCTGGAAGAGGGGCGAGCTGAGAAAGAAGAGACGGGGCTGGACAGCTCCAACCGGACAGGGGCCTGGGGAAAGAAGCGACGGGCTCTCAGAGGAATAGTGATGGGGGCTACAGCAAGGTGTGAAGGTGAACGACAGGGATACGGGGGCTGCGACGCGATGCGACGGGACGCAACAGAGGGAATAGCCGACGATCACAGACGGTTGCAGGTGTGCTTTGCGAATGCGCGGTGTCCAATTGCGGTTGTCGCCAGGAACCTAACGTAAAGGTCCTCCCGAGAGCCCCTTCAAGGCGCGAGGTTTTCATCCCTGCAATGGGACCTCCCATGGCCCCGAGTCTCCCCTCCGACGGGGAACAGTGCTGCCGTGGGGGCTCAGGAGCGGATTTGGACACGACGCAGACGTCAGCAATGGGACCGCGATATTCTGGCGGACAGAGCAGTGGCACCTATAGCCACGAGAGCGCGAGAGTAGACATCACTTCGATCAGAGAGACTCTGAACCAGACGGAGCAGGTTTCGTTCGTGCGAGACAGCACATGACTTGCATGTGGAGACGTCTGCAGGATCAAAAGTTAGGGCTCCTCGAGGCACTGGGGCGCAACGCGAGCGCTGTGCAGGATGGGAAAGAGGCCGAAGGCCCGGAGAATCAGCGGCAGCCCACACTGCAGCTCGAGATGATCTGAGAAGTTCCAGGACAAAGTGGCATCATCGCTGGGCCCCATTTGCCTAGGGGGAGCAGATCGTCCCCTCCTCCCTCCTCCCTCCTCCCTCCTCCCTCCTCCCTCCTCCCTCCTCCTCCTCCTCCTCCTCCTCCTCCTCCTCCTCCTCCTCCTCCTCCTCCTCCCCCTCCTCCTCCTCCTCCTCCTCCTCCTCCTCCTCCTCCTGCCAGGATCACAGGGTGGCCGCTCGAAAACTTTGAGCAGGGGGCAGATCAGCGACAGCGCCCCCGGGCGCTCTCGACGACGGCATGAAATGCCAGGTGCCCGCCAGCCGGCCCGCCCTCCCGCGCCTGCCGCTTCGTCGGCAGGAGGTTCGAGGCGCCGCTTGCCTCGCCTGTCCCACCCGTGCTCCCGTGCTGCCGCCGCACCGACGGCGTGACGTGCGAGGCGCGACCGACTCGCGCCGGCCTCGCCCTCCCTTCGGGCGAAGAGAACTATGCACATGCACCGATCCTGACAACGCCCATCCTTGACCCAGGATCGGTGCATATCTCTTCCTGGCCAAGGCAAGAGGGCTTATGCACCGATCCTGGGCTCAGGATGGTCCTGGCCAGAATCGGTGCATGTGCATAGTTCTCTTCCCTCTGTCCCTCCCGTGCCTGCCTGCCGCCGCCACGGCAGTGCGAAGTTCGAGGCGCAGCAGGCTTGCGCCGGAGGGAACCGCCTGCACATCAACGGTCCGTGGGGCAGATGGGGGAGGACGGTGCGCGTGAGGCGGCGTGCCGAGACCGCGACGCCCAGGGCAGGCGGCGAAGGGGTGAGAAGTGATGTGCCAGGAGTTCGTACGTGCAGAGAGTGCACCCGTCTGTTGCCCGGATCTCGGTGGGGGGTGCGCTCCGTCTGGGCCTGCTGCCAGTGCCTCGGCTGCCAAGCCAGAAAGACCCTGCCGCTCCAGGTAGGCAGGCCCTCGTTAGATACGCCGGGTCCTGCGTCCATGCAATTTTCCCGTCTGTTGCGCAGATCTCGGTGGGGGGTGCGCTCTCGGGAGCCTCGAGACGGGGGTCCATGCAAACGGGGGTCAGCCAGAGCGCCAGATCTTGCAGGATCCTGCGAAGACCCCCTCTGGCTGACCCGGGTTAGCGAGCCGCTCGTGGCCTCGAGGCGGCCGCGCCTGTTGGCTGACCCGGGTTTGCGATGACCTGCGTTGCATTTTTTTTTTCCCTGCATTGCAGTTTTTGGTTTCCTGCTGACCCGGGTCTGGATTGACCCGGGTCACGACGCTCCGTCTGGGCCTGGTGCCCCGTCCCTCTCCTGTCATGTGATGCGCTCTGCGCGGTTCTGAGTGCCCCTCCGCCGGTGCCTCGGCTGCCAAGCCAGGAAGACCCTGCCGCTCCAGGTAGGCAGGCCCCCGTTAGATACGACGGGTCCTGCGCCCATACAATTTTTCCAGGGGGAAGACAATTTTCCCAGTAGTCGGGATCAAGACCCCGAATGGCCCTTACCTTTCGTTGCGTTACACTACCTTACCTTATCTTACCTTACTTTACTGTTCTTTATTTTATCTTTCCTTACTTGACTTCACCGGACCTGACCTGACCTGACCAGACCGGACCGGACCTCTCCTTACCTTACTTTTTTAATTTTATTTTACCTTATCTCACCTCATCTCACCTTACCTACCTAACCTTACCTTATCTTACCTCACCTTACCTTACCTTACCTTACCTTACCTTACCTTACCTTACCTTACCTTACCTTACCTTACCTTACCTTACCTTACCTTACCTTACCTTACCTTACCTTACCTTACCTTACCTTACCTTACCTCCTCCCTCCTCCTCCTCCTCCTCTTTGTCCTTCTCCTCCTTCTCCTCCTCTTCCTTGTCGTCCTCTCTCCTCGGCGACGGCGACGACGACGATAGCGATGACGATGGTGGTGATGGTAATGGTGATGATGTTGTTGATGATGATGCTGATGATGAGGATGGTGGTGGTGGTGGTGCTTCTGCTGATGATTATGACGCTTAGTACTTGAGATGGCGGCGACGACGACGATGGTTATGGTGATTATCGTTGCGATTTTGTTGGCGATGACGATGATGTGGATGATGACGACGGCGTTGACTATGACAATGGCGACGATTATGATGCTGCTGCTGCTGATGATGCGGCTGCTGCTGCTGCTGCTGCGACTGCTTATGATAGTGACGATGAGGATGAAGATGGTGATTGCGGTGCTGCTGTCTTAATAATAACGAGGAGATAGAGGAGAAGGAACAGGAGCAGAAGCAGGGAGGGGGAAGAGGAAGAAACAACAGAAAAACAGGAGGAGGAAAGGAGGAGGATTATGTAGCATGATTAGGACGAGGAAGAGGAGGATGGACCCCCATGGCAAACAATCACATCATATCACTTGCTTTTCCGCTCCTGGATTGCTGCCAGCCTCTCGCATCTGACAGAGTAGGCGGGAAATGAGCACGGGAGGATGATGAGGATGCGGAGGGAGAGGATCAGGGGGAAAAGGAGGGAGGAGAAGAGAGGGAGGAATTCCTCCTTCTTCCTCCTCGCAGAGGTGATCATAGTCAGCAACGTCTTCGTCACCATGGCCTACGTCCCACGGGCCGTGCCAAAGCCAGCTGCGGCCCCCGTTCCCGATTTCGGGCCCGTTGCCTAGAGGGAACTACCTATTGGTGTGCTGGAGCTGGTGGGGCCTTGTGGACGTCTGCCTCACGAGTCCAGTGCTTCCCTCCTCTCCCCACCCTGATTTGTCGTCCTCTCCTCCCGTGTTCGTGGGGGGGGAGGCGTCCGCCATCTCTTGGCGTGTCGATGATCCTCGGTGTGCGCGTGCGTGCGTGCGTGTGTGCGTGCGTGCGTGTGTGTGTGTGTGTGTGTGTGTGTGTGTTTGTCTGTGTGTGTGTGTTTGTGTTTGTGTGTTTGTGTGTTTGTGTGTTTGCTTGTGTGTTTGTTTGTTTGTCTGTTTGTTTATGTGTAAGTGTTTGTGTGTTTGTGTTCGCTCAACGTGCATTTACCCTGTTCGGCCTGTGGCGGCCACCGTAACAACGCACTCGTTGAAGGGCGTCGGTGGACAAGCACATGTTGGGGCTAAGGCATGTTTCTGAGGGATCATCGATTTGGGCATACGGCAGCTCATGTCTGTTGCGGCAGTCACGCCCGCGAACGCGCCGCCAGGGCCGTGCGGAGAGGAGTTCGTGCGGCAGTTTCGTAGCGCAGACCGCCGACTTCCTCTCTGAAGCATGTTACTCCAGATTTCGTGATAAAAGGGAGGGGGTCTGGGCCCTCCAAGACAAGCCATTTCAGACCTCCCCCGCGGGGGAACCCTCCAAAACACCGTCCCCAGACCCCCCCAGGCCCTCCAAGATAGCCTGGAAGAGACCCCCCCCCCGAAATGAGACCCCCCTCCCTTTATTACGAAATCTGGAGTAATTTTCTCCTCAATCAGGCCTCCAGGCACTACGCAGTTTCGGGCCCAGGGGCCATCAAAGAGTCGAGATGTGGGAAGCATCCGCCCGCGGGGAGGAAGGGGTCGAGACCCCCAGGGCCCGCGGATGGAACATAGCAGTCCGTTGGAGGCCTGGGGTCTACTACTGCTACTCTACTCTACTACTACTGCTACTGCTACTGCTACTGCTACTGCTACTGCTACTGCTACTACTACTACTACTACTACTACTACTACTACTACTACTGCTACTACTGCTACTACTGCTACTACTACTACTACTGCTACTACTACTACTGCTACTCGTACTACTACTGTTACTACTACTACTTCTACTACTACTGCTACTACTACTACTACTACTACTACTGCTACTACTGCGACTGCTACTACTACTGCTGCTACTAGTACTGCTACTAGTACTACTACTGCTACTCGTACTACTACTACTACTACTACTACTACTACTACTACTACTACTACTGCTACTACTGCTACTGCTACTACTACTACTGCTACTCGTACTACTACTGCTACTACTACTACTGCTACTACTGCTACTGCTACCACTACTACTCCTACTACTACTACTACTACTACTACTGCTACTGCTACTACTGCTACTACTACTTCTTTTACTATTACCTTTACTACTGCTACTACAAATATTACTACTGTTACTTGTCTTTTTACTACTACTACTCTCATTTTTTATTTTTGATTACTTCTACTACTACTACTACTACTTGTATTTTTAATTTTACTATTACTACTACTGGTGCTACTCTTGTTTTGACTTTCACTATTACTTATCATTTTTACTACTACTGCCTACTAGTACTACTGCTACGACTACTATTACTATTACTTCTGCTACTATTATTACTATTACTACTACTACTGCTACTACTACTACTACTACTGCTACTATTACTGCTACTACTACTACTTCTACTACCTACTACCTACTACCTACTACCTACTACCTACTACCTACTACCTACTACCTACTACCTACTACCTACTAGCTACTGCGACGACTACTACGACTACTACTACGACGACTACTACTACTACTACTACTACTACTACTACTACTACTACTATACTACCTACTACCTACTACCTACTACCTACCACCTACTACCTACTACTACTACTACTACTACTACTACTACTACTACTACCTATACCTGTTACTACTACTACTGCTACTACTACTACTCCTACTACTACTACTGCTTCTGCTACTACTACTATTGCTACTACTTCTACTGCTACTACTACTACTTCGACTATTACTACTACTACTACTGCTACTACTCATATTACTTCTTTAATTTTTACTACTGCTACTACTTTCATTTTTCCGGTTACTACTACTTTTACCTTTATTTTTACTCTTACTTTTACTACAAGTACTATTTTTACTTTTACTTTCATTTGTCATTTTACAACAACAACAACTACTACTACTACTACTACTACCTATACCTATACCTATACCTATACCTACTGCTATTACTACTATCACTACTACCACCTACTACTACTACTACTACTACTTCCTCTACTACCTATACCTACTACTACTAGTACTGCTACTGCTACTACTACTACTACTGCTACTACTACTGCCACTACTACTACTACTACTACTACTACGACTACTACTACTACTGCTACTACTTCTACTACTACTACTACTACCTACCTACCTACCTACCTACCTACCTACCTACCTACCTACCTACCTACCTACCTACAACCTACAACCTACAACCTACAACCTACAAACTACAACCTACAACCTACTACTACTACTACTACTACTGCTACTACTACTACTACTACTACTACGACTACTACTACGACTACGACTACTACTACGACTACGACTACGACTACTACTACTACTACTACTACTACTACTACTACTACTACTACTACTACTACTACTACTACTACTACTACTACTACTACTACTACTACTACTACTACTACTACTTACTACTACCACTACTACCACTACTACCACCACTACCACTACTACTACTACTACTACTACTACTACTACTACTACTACTACTACTGCTACTACTACTACTACTACTACTACTACTGCTACTACTGCTACTACTGCTACTACTACTGCTACTACTACTACTACTACTACTACTACTACTTCTAGGGTGTGGCTTGGCCAGTGTTTCCAAATACTATGAAGGCTCTGCGGCTGGTGCCGCCGACCTTGCAGGCGGGATCTCCCCCGGGACCCCCCGCTGAACCCCCCCCCCCAGCACCCGTTGGGACCAAGGGGGGGAGGTGTGGCATCCTGACCCGGGAACCCCTCCCAACGACAGGTGAGGCGGGACCTCCCCCATGACCCCCGCTGGCGACCCCCGCCGGAGGGGGTGGTCCCCCTGGTCCCCACGTCCGCAGGGGGGACGCCCGGGACCCGCCAGCAACCTGCGGGGGGGCGGTAATCTGACCCAGGACCGCCCTCCGTACCCCCCCCCCAATGCCTGCCCCGTAGCCCCCCCCCCCCGTACCCCACCAGGAAGAAGGAGAGGGAGTCGTCTCAGCTACGACGCTTCTTTCCTCTGGTCGTTCCTCATTCTCTCGGGACTGGCGACGACGACGACAAAGACGACGAAGACGACGAAGAAGACGACTGCAGCGTCTCTCACACGCCGAAGGGTCGGCGGATTCTGCCAGAGGTCGCCGAGGAGGATATTGAGGAGGAGGGCGGGACGGGAGAGGAGGAGGAGGAGGAGGAGGAGGAGGAGGAGGAGGAGGAGGAGGAGGAGGAGGAGGAGGAGGATATTGAGGAGCAGGAGGATATTGAGGAGGAGGGAGGAGGAGGAGGAGGAGGAGGGAGGAGAGGAGGAGGAGGAGGAGGAGGAGGAGGAGGAGGATATTGAGGATATTGAGGAGGATATTGAGGAGGAGGAGGAGGAGGATATTGAGGAGGAGGAGGAGGAGGAGAGGATATTGAGGAGGATACCGTAGTGTAGCCGATCGAACATCGAGGAGCTGCGCAGGACACCGCCGAGATGTATTGTTGCCCCTTCGAGGTCACAGGCGTTCTCGGAGTCCTCTCCGGGAGCTCCTTTGGGGTCCTCGTCGAGATGCATGGGACATCGCTGACGTTGTGCGTGTTCACGCCTTCTCCTGAATTGTTCACGCCTCGTGTATCCCCACCAGCAGCGTCCGCGAGGTTGGGACTCCCGACCCAGATGACGGGGGCGCAACGAGGACCCGCGCGGGTTTGGCCCTCCCCCCCCAGCTTGAATAGGGCCGCAACGGTCACCGCCACGGCCCACCTACTTACGTGCTGCCTGCCGCGCGCAGCACACACTACCTCGCTCCTCCCTGCCCGGCATTCGCCGCAACCCCCCTCCCCAGTCGGTTTCACCCGCAGCGCCCGGCCTGTGCCGCAATACCCTGTGCTACCTCCTATGGGGCGGAGGAGCACCAATACCCTTGCGCTGCGCTTTTAGACAGCCCACGCTGGACTCGTGGACCTTGCAGCACCCGGCCTCGGCCCAATACGTGCTACCCTCGCGGGGGCGGGGGACACCAATGAGCGTCGCACATAGACAGCCCACGCTGGAGACGTGGACCTTGCCAGGCTGCCTCCTTCGGCGGAGGCCACCGCCAACATGGACTCTGGGTCGTCTGTGCTCCCTCCCAGGGCAGCCCACTTTGGACGGCAGAGACGGGTAGCTGAAATAACCCACCTCCTGCGCTCCACCCTTTTTCGCACAGTGAATGGCAGCGGTCGGGGTAGGAAACCATCTGCCGCACTGCCCGCGCTCAGCCCCATTCGCCAACATGGGCTATGGGGTCGTCGGTGCCACTCCTCCAGGGCAGGCCACTTTTGACGGCAGAGACTGGTGGCTGAAATAACCCACCTCCTGCGCTCCACCTCTTTCGTAGCATAGTGAACGGCAGCGGTTGGGGTTCGAAGTGCCGCTCCGCCCGCGATCGGCCCCATTCCCCTGTGGTTCGGAAGCTTTGTGCATGGATGATCGGGATCGCCATCTGTGTTCAGCGGCCATTGGCTGCGCCCCCTCTTCTTTCTCATTCACAATGTCTCTGCGGCTTTTGGCTGCGCCCCCCACCATGTCTCATTCACAATGTCTCTG